CATTAGCTATTATGTACCATGGCCCCTAACTCAATAGCCATTATGTACCATGGCCTCCAACTCATTAGCCATTATGTACCATGGCCCCAAACTCATTAGCCATTATGTACTGTGGCCCCTAACTCATTAGCCATTATGTACCGTGGCCCCTAACTCATTATCCATTATGTACCATGGCCCTCTAACTCATTAGCCATTATGTACCTTGGCCCCTAACTCATTAGCCATTATGTACTGTGGCCCCTAACTCATTAGCTTTTATGTACCATGGCCCCTAACTCATTAGCTATTATGTACCACGGCCCCTAACTCATTAGCCATTATGTACCTTGGCCCCTAACTCATTAGCTTTTATGTACCATGGCCCCTAACTCATTAGCTTTTATGTACCATGGTCCCTAACTCATTAGCCATTATGTACCACGGCCCCTAACTCATTAGCCATTATGTACCATGGCCCCTAACTCATTAGCCATTATGTACCGTGGCCCCTAACTCATTAGCTTTTATGTACCATGGCCCCTAACTCATTAGCTATTATGTACCACGGCCCCTAACTCATTAGCCATTATGTACAATGGCCCCTAACTCGTTAGCTATTATGTACCACAGCCCCCCTAACTCATTAGCTATTATGTACCACGGCCCCTAACTCATTAGCCATTATGTACCATGGCCCCTAACTCATTAGCCATTATGTACTGTGGCCCCTAACTCATTAGCTTTTATGTACCATGGCCCCTAACTCATTAGCTTTTATGTACCATGGCCCCTAACTCATTAGCTATTATGTACCACGGCCCCTAACTCATTAGCCATTATGTACCATGGCCCCTAACTCGTTAGCTATTATGTACCACAGCCCCCCTAACTCATTAGCTATTGTATAACAGACCTAATAAAAGCCATAATTCCTTACTCATTGCCCAATGTATACTGTGGCCCTTAACTCATCACCCATTGTATAATAGGCGCCCTAACTCATTGTGTATTCATATTGTGCATCTTACCCGTGACCATCTACTTTCTTTGTAAAGTATCTCAGCATACCTACAAGCCATTAACCAATCTAACCGGAATGCATAGCACCACATTAACTCCCAGTGACATATGTGATGAAACTGTTTCCATTCTGACTGGCTGTTAATAGATTCTTCAAATTTATAAATTGCCTGCAAGTAATCAAAAAATTAAAATGATTTTTAAACTTGAACACATTAAATAGCACCCTACCCAATGATTTGTTAATTACAAAACGGTTGTTCAAACAACAAATATGCAAGTAATTCTGTTCTTTTCCATGTCAGGTTCAATAAGTTACTTTGTCATAACTGACCATCATAGAGTGTGTATAGCACATTATTAACCATGGAAATACCAAAAAATACTTCCGTACAATGTGTTGACGTCACTACAATGATATGACCTTTGTTTGTCCTGTTTTCACATTCAATTTTATGCATGATGCAGGAAAATGATCTATAAACATAGACTGATATTACGAGAATACAGCAAAGTATGCACAAAGACAGTACAGGGTCTGTATCGACAACACATGGTTTTATATATCTTTTCTATGTTTGTGGTTAGATTTTAATAAGATGCCCCATATTAGGGAAAATTGTATCACTGAAACAAGTGCAGATGTATGTTTTATGGCAAAGTTATTTACTCCTTGGATGCCAACTGTCAACAATCTGTAGAATCAGTACATGCCCTGTTATTACTTCAACCATATTTTAACACTTTCATTCAATCCACACAAAAACAAAATTTAAAACTTGATGAAATTGTTATATTTCTCCTTTGACAGATGCAACTAAATTATCACATAGTTCATCATTGTATATATTATTATCAATATTTAGTGTCAATATTATTACTACAATTATTGTATTCACTATTTTTATTATATTGACCAGTTGTATTTGTATTTTCTGATGCACATAGTGCTAGAGACCTATAGTGCATTGTAACCATGGTATCAGGATACATTATACATCAGTACTAGCAATTTGCACATAAAATAATTAAGGAAAGACAACAGTAACATTTGATCACCTGGCAAAAAAATACTTAAAAATAAAAAAAATAATTAATGTTCTTATAAACTTACATCTATTGTTTCACCTTCTATTTCTTTTAGTCTTCCAGCAAAGAAGAGAAATATGGCACCACCTGGATACTTATCCAGACATGGTTTTAATGCTTTGTTAGAATATGGTATATCACCGTCACCCATCCCTGAAAACAAACAATATACAGGTTATATGGTGGTGTATTGTCAACATTCCTGATGGAATGTTTGAAGCATATGGCCAGCAAAATTGTACTAAATCTTCGTTTGAATGTTTGAATCATGGTTTGCTCAGAATTCAGGAGTCTTAATTTCAAATGTATGCCAAAATAAACAAAATGAATTATGACATACTGAGGTATTTCATTTGATGACAGTGTGTAGGAACTCACCTATTGCAAATGAGATGACTGAATGGTAGCCTACAAGTACTGTAGCACACAGTGGACTCCGTAAAGTCTCTTCTAATGCACGACCTTTTTCTAATTCAGATAAACCTAATTCCTTTAATAAAAACAACATTTAAACAAAAATTATAAATGTGCATTCCAAGAATTATAATGATTTTAAACTTTTTATTGTGTTTTATTATTACAGTAGAGTATTGTTTGTTTTAAATATGCATTGTAATCGCCATCATCGTTAGAAAGTTGTTTTTGCGGCAAATGGAGACAAAATAAGAAAAAGAATATATTAAAGATATAATCTTAACTACCGGTAGATATTATTAATTAAAGCCATGATTTGAACTTACCCTATTCCCCGAGAAACCTACAAACTCTAATAATTTAAGAATTCTTGTTGGCAACAGTGAAATCATCTAACAAAAGAGAAGACAGAAACATTCATTAATTCTTCGAACGCCAAAATCAACATTTGTCTGCTTTCACAAAATACGAATGTTCACTTTTCCTTTTTTTTTCTTCAAAAAAATTGATTGAGAGCTGTTGCCATGGCAAATTATGTCCATTTTGTCTAAAATTAATACCAAAACTTTTGAAAACTTTTGAAACATAACAGCTGCTCTCTGATTGGTCAGATTATTAGATGTTAGAATTGGGTAGCCAATAAGGCACAAGTAGCTTTGCACTGACGTCTCATTACAGTGTTCCATTCACTATCACCATCAAAGCCCACTGTTTCAAAATACAGAAAAAATACACCAAGATTATTCCTTCTACTTACTAAATTGAAAGTACCGATTCCAAACCTAACACCGCTTTCAAACTGTACTCTGGATGTTTCATCTGACCATGTACGTTTTTCTAACATTAATCTGCACTCTCTGTAAAAGATATGTATACATATCAATACCTGCTTAGCTGAGTCAGGATCTTGTACAAAGTTTTTAGCGAAAATGCAGTAAAATATTAGTAATGAACAAATAAATGCTGCTCAGAACGATAAATAAGATATTTAAAAACCAAAATGTCTAGTTGTTTTGAATAGATACTTAGGACTACGATTACCAACTATTATCTATATGAGTACAATATTATGTTATGTTCGTCATCAGTAGAAAGGGGTAAATGTCATTTTCAAATTGTTGTATCACTTGCAAGTGGAAAAAGATAGCTGCAAGATTACATCCAGGTCTCAAGAGGGCACCATCTATTGAAATCTACTTTTGTTAAAGGGGCACTTCCAGTTAAGCCTAATCTCACAACAAATTTACTTCCTGGATTAAAATTACAATAGATAACAAAAGATAGATTAACATTGTAAACAACATAAACAATAGTGTCCCATGATTCTTTGGTGCAATCCCTGGGCCAAGATGCCACTTTACCAAGGGTCTTTGGTGAAATGTTAAAAACGTTGCCATCTTGAGGGGCTAAGCCTCTCTTCTAACATATCATTTCCCACAAAAATGTGCATTGTGGGTAATGTTTTTCTACATCACATGGCCAAACTACTACTACCGTAAAATCTGTATTAGAAGCAGCATCCCTAATAGAAGCCGCACCCATTTTTTTTGAACAATTGAATTGAACAATTTTCATATGTGTAGATGCTCTAATAGAAGCCACATCCCCTCTGTTGCATTGTATCATTTTATTAGAAGCCGCGGTTTTTAATACAGATTTTACACTTTTTTCACATTGCATTTTATGTGATAATATGTGATAATAGCCTTATTACTATTCAATTCAATTTAATTTAATTTAATTTAATTTAATTTAATTTAATTTAATTTAATTTAATTTAATTTAATTTAATTTAATTTAATTTAATTTAATTTAATTTAATATGACCATTTTATATGACCATAGAACAACTCACTGTAGTTTGTTTTAGTGTTGAATAATATTATTATGTTTAAACAAATGTTCAGAATCACAGCTACTGGTATTGCCGCTCTAATTCACATAGGAACATGTTTTCATCTTTTGAAAGCGAGAGATAACTTTGCTCATTTTGTTTACTCACTAGACCGCTGTATTTTGTGGTGTTGAATGACATTCACACAGAATAGAACTTTATCACAATAAATGGATATCTATTATCTTATTTTATAAATTCCTTCCATGCACCTTAGTATATGTACATGAATTAGAATTAGAATTAGAATTAGAATTAGAATACTTGAGATAAAAGTACAAATACTGTAAAAAAAACAGTGAAAATAAATTCTATATAAAACAGCTACAATAAAGTATTTTACAGTAGGTGAATTTCTGTTCATTGTGAAACCTTGAATAATACGTGAAAAACATGGTTGGAATGCTGGCCGAAAATCATTTGATTTTTAAATCTTAAATTCTTATCTTTTGAAGAGGAACATGGAGATATCTTTACTTCATCAAAATTGACCATAATCAAAATTGACAATTATCAAAAGTATACCACATTTCTTAAGCTTGAAAATATTCCCAAATACTTTTGCGTTTGTTGAATTTCTCACAATGTCTTGATGCCACTATGACCTTTGTCAGGTTTTTATGTTCGATTTCACGCATAACGCAGGATCTTGCAAGTAATGTGGTATATTAAAGGAAACTTACTTATATGAGTTGTAGCATGCTCTAATTTTAAGGCCGCCTTTGACAAAGTTAACCAGGTTTTCGTCTTGAATAAATGTTACTAAAGCTCTCTGTAGCAAGCATTCTGCGTAACACAACTCAGCATGTACTTCCTCTGAAAATTAGTAAACAAAAAGTGAGATTTGTAAAAAAAAAGATGGGAAATCAGTAAACAAAAAGAGAAATTTGTAAAAAAAGATGGGAAATCAGTAAACAAAATGGGAAATTAGTAAACAAGATGGAAAATTAGTAAACAAGATGGGAAATTAGTAAGCAAGACGGAAAATAAGTGAACAAAAAGAGAAATTGGTTAAAAAAGATGGGAAATTAGTAAACATAATGAGAAATTAGTAAACAAGATGGGAAATAGGAAAATTAGCAAACAAACTGAAATTAGTAAACAAGAACTAAAAATAGTAAAAACTAAAACAACAATAATTGAGCAATATAGATTCATGGATGAAATTTAAAATTTAGTTGAAATACTAAAATTAGTAAATTACATATAAATCTGAATACAAAATGTAGTTGGGAAGAGACGCTGATTGGCACATTTCCAAACTAGGAAGGAACCGCAATAAAAGTATATTTTACCATAGCTGACCATCCACTGAGAAGGAAATGAATTAAATTAACCAATCAAAATAAAGCATGCATAAAGTGACTCACCATCAGTGTATGTAAATTACTACACTGACCAATCAGAATACAGCATGCATAAAGTGACTCACCATCAGTGTATGTAAATTACTACACTGACCAATCAGAATAAAGCATGCAAAGTGACTCACCATCAGTGTATGTAAATTACTACACTGACCAATCAGAATACAGCATGCATAAAGTGACTCACCATCAGTGTATGTAAATAATTACACTGTCCAATCGGAATAAAGCATGCATAAAGTGACTCACCATCATTGTATGTAAATAATTACATTGACCAATCAGAATAAAGCATGCATAAAGTGACTCACCACCAGCGTATGTAAATGGTTACACTGACCAATCAGAATAAAGCATGCATAAAGAGACTCACCATCAGTGTATGTATTGTAATCAACTTTATTCCATTTCAATCTCGCTTGTTTCTTTCTCTGTTTATTACAAACTTCAACTGATCGTTTCAATGCATCTACTGCTGCGTCTATGTGTCTTGGTTCAAAGGTCATTGCAGCTTGTATATACATCATCGTACAATATCCGAGTGCATGGTAACAACTGGAATCAGCCCTATCAAAAACAAAATGTCATAATTACTATGTAAATCTATCAGCTTTATAAATGAATATATCACATGATGTAAATTTCAATAAAAATTTATTACTAGGTTTTCTATTACTGTAATAATTGAACATACAACTACAACTGTATTAATATTAGCTAGCTGCATGGTTTATCTGTGAGCGTAGTGAGTGTCACCATGCTGTGCACATTCCCTATTATAAAATTGTTATGACTTGCGATTTTCTCGTTTCTGCAAACAAGTGTGCAGTAGACAGTGAAACAATTTTCGCTATTACCAGCTGGTTCAGCTATTTTCAGGATCGTAAATAATGTGGGCCTTTAATCATTTCACTACCAGTTCCTTCTTTTCATCTCAAATTCACAAAATAGTCCTGTTAATAGTCTGCACTCTCCTTCAGAAGATTGGGACAAGAATGGCGAAATTTTTTGAGTAAAAACTGAAAATTTAACTCAAATTTGACTTAAAAGTCTGTTGGCTTCAAAATTTGGGCACATTTTCAGAAATATTGAAGAATATGAGAAAAAAGTGCAGAAAAATTTGGGCAAGAAAGTCTGGTGGGGAAAAGGTGTATCCCAGTAAATCAATAATCACTGTGGTGGTTTTCCTTTATTAGACTTTATACTGATTATTTATATTAATTAGTAAATATTGAACAATGACAGTTCAAATGCATAACAAAAATGTTGAAAGAAAACACTACTGTAACAGTCATCCTCTGTAGTTTGTATGGTACTGTAAACTACTTTATTTTAGCTGGAATTAATTCGTTGAAAAGACTTTTTGAGTGTTTTGTATGGAATTTATTTTCACTGATTTTTGGCGAGTTGAATGTAAAATATGGGGGAAAAGGTATATTCGCTAGATTTTATTTTCACTGAATCACCCCTTCTGCGAAAATTAATCCCAAGCGAAAATAAAGTATTTCACAGTATTGTGTAAACAGCTTGGTAATCTTTAAATAACACCATATACATGTGGGTATGGTGTTAACACAGCAAGGTCAATGTACCTGCATACTGTTGATTTATAGGTATATCAATTTATTACAAATTGAATGTAACAGCTACATGTAGTTAAAATATGTAGCAGGTATTTTTTTAAACAAGGGAACAGGGGTGCAGCTTCCTCATGCCATGGCAATGCGCCCCCTTACCCCGGGCAGAAGATCTTCAACCATAAAATTCAGATGGATCAGAGATCACATGTGGCCACAGTCTTCAACTATGACATGTCTGATAGTAATTTTGGCCTCAAGAAAGCCATAGAATGCTCCATTTTAAATTAAAATTATCAAAAACTTCACACCCTGGTGTTCCCTCTTTCAGTTTTTTTCTAGAAAAACCTGTGTAGGTAAGTGCATTCAGCTATAGAAAACCACTTTTAACTGCAACTAATTGAGGGGTGCGTATATGACAATTAGTCTCCCTGGTGTGAGAAATATTCACTGAGGTGTTTCCCTATATTGTTTGTACGTCCATGACTGGTGTCAACACAGACCGACTTTCTCATACTGTAGTTTGATCTACATTTGGATTATGTTTCAAATAAATATGGTAGCTTTGTGAAACTTGCATTGATACCCATAGTGTAGTAACTGTACACACATGTAAGATTCGTACTTACCATGGTTCAAACCTATTCCTGGCATCACCAAAATGATTATTCAGAAATAAATTAACAGCAATCTGTGTTTCCTCTATTGCAGTTGATAAGTCCATGGTCTTGGCCCTGCAATCAAACATAATTAAATTAAATTAAATTAAATTAAATTAAATTAAATTAAATTAAATTAAATTAAATTAAATTAAATTAAATTAAATTAATAATAAATCATCATGACAAAATCATTATTAATTGACCATATTTTAATTCCCAAGTAAGAAAAAAACAAAAAAAGACCCGTTCCTTTTCAGTGCGTACATTGGTTTTGAAAGCAAACAAACTCATTTCGTATCGCTTCTGCTAAAATATTATACAAAAGAAAAATAAAGGCATTAAACCATTTTCTTTGCATGCCTAGTCTGTCACATTAGTTTTTCAATAGTAATATTCAATCATACAGTTAATATCTCAGCTCTCATTTGTGTGTTTCCATGGAAATGTAAATTACCAACGCAGCATATATCATCATCTGTCAGGTGACAAATCTATTCACAGTCTGACATTGACACATAATTATATAATACAGAATTGTGGGTAATTCATTCACAGGCCTTGTCAATTGTGTACTTGTTGATAGAGGGCACGGTATCCTCTGAGAATAAACATACTAAGAACATCTTAATTTTGAAAGATACATTTTCACGAGACATTAATGAAGAAAAAAATGTAATATTGTTGGGATTCAAAATAGGGAGCCATAGTGATTTTCACTTATGTCCTAGGGAGTCACATTAACTTTCAATGGGGCTCTAGGGAGCCATAGTGACTTTGGTGAAATTTTGTCTTTTTAGCAGTAGAAATTATAAGACTTAAATTTATAAATTTTATTTATAGTAAATTTTTAAATAGTAAATTTTACTTGTACTTTTTGATAAAAATGCAGCAGAGTAATTATCAGCACATTTACCTAGTACTGCAAAATACTTTATTTTAGCTGGAAGTAATTTTTGCTGAAAAGACATTTTGAGTGTTTTGTATAGAATTTATTTTCACTGATTTTTGATGAGTGGAATGTAAAATATAGGAAAAGAAGTGTATTTGCAGGATTTTATTTTCACTGAATCATTCCTTCAGCAAATATAGCGAAAATAAATTCCAAACGAGAATAATTCTTAATATGTACATGGTGTATTTTTTTTAGGCAGTCATGCTGTGACGTCATTTGTTTAAATTTGTACCAGCATGTAAAAATATAGATGAAACAAAAACAGGTTATCACTAGATTGCAATGTACAGCATTATTATTCATATTTCTGTATTAGCATGGACATGTACATACACAGCAAAAAATAAATAAAAAGTAAATGCAGCAGCACCAGCGGTAAATCATTTAACTAACAGAACCCAAACAAACATCTATATAGTACATTGAAAGGCTTTTCACAATTTGTCATGGTTTGGGGAGGGGGGGGGCATAATAGCTAGTTTTATGGAAAACTGAAAGCGGTAACTTTGAACGATTTGTTAGGCGTGAATTTGTTGTTGTAGCATCTGTGGAATATATGGGCTACCTAATCACAAATAAAAACTACAGCAGTGATGTTAATATTGTTGTTGTTGCCATACTTGGTTTAATGGAAAACAGCAAAAAATATGATAAAAAAATCAGTACCACTGTATTCTTTAATCTGAAAATTTTGTTTGTAGTATTTATATGCCTATTACATTTAAGCTTCAGTATCACTTAACAATTAATTGATTAAGTGGTTTGCCAACCATCGTGGATTGAATAAAATGTTTAATTACTCCTACTTCCCATTACTTTGGAAACTCAAATTTTATAGAACAGCATTATAGATCAGAATACGAATGTAAGATCAAAGGTAACTTTCTCTTCATTATTAAATATAGAATTTGTAGCATTTTTATATTTTAATTTATTGCGTGTTTGACAACCTCAAAATGTTGTCACAACATCACATGGTTTGCTTGCCATTTATGAATCAAACGAAAATTCCTAAAGATTTGTTAATACACAAACATATCCTATTGATGGTATTTGTCATTATATCAATAATATTGCTTCTAACACCCCACCCCTAATAAGAAGTTTTGAGACAATTTTCTAGTGGACACAGGTCATAAAAAATGAGGGAGGTCCCCAGTTCAAAACATTTAAAAAAAAGTTTGGGTATGAGTTTGCACATGGTTATAAAACATAACAATTCACATTAGAATGTAATCTCCAAATACAACAACAAATACAATACTGTAGAATACTCGCTATTTTCACTAAAGGAATGTTTCATTGTAAATAAAATCCAGCGAATATACCTTTTTTCCTATATTTTACATTACATTACAAACTCATCAAAAATCAGTGAAAATAAATTCCATACAAAACATCCAAAAATGTCTTTCCAGCGAAAATAATTCAAGCTAAAATAAAGTATTCTACAGTAGATTGATTATATCAATGTAAACTTGATGAGACGCAAGTCTGGAATACTAATGAGTACTTCTAAACACTTACTATTGTTATGCAGATTAGTTGTAACTATTGTTAGTACATATACATGTATCTCACAACAGTTATAAATAAAATAGTTGACTCATTAAAACAATGACTTTCACAAAATGGCTTTATTTCATGCTGCTGTGTACAAAACATGATAAAAATATATGGCAACTGAAATACTTTTTGCATAAATAACATCAAAAAAAATTGCTAGGTCATCCTCGCTTCTATAGGAAAATATGGTGGATATACAGCAAATTGGTGTACACTTTTTTTGACAACAGATGAATCAAACTATCGATGATCAGAAACTTGACTTATTTATGAAAAATATTCATTAATTTGGCATACCAAAAGTTGGTTAATTTTAGCAGGAAATCAAAATTAGATTACACATAAGTAGAGATAAAAATATTTTACCTCCCTGGATTATGGCAGGTGTGTATTCTATTATGCATCCACCCCACTTTGCTACATCACGATTCATGGCGGTGTTTAAGTGGGCATCCCATGAACAAATGACAACACTGTGGGTCAAGGGCTAGCTAAACCAGTAATATTTGTTCACAATTAAATTTATTTTAAATTCTGAGTTTTCCTAAATGCTAACCAATACTGGATTAATAAAAACGCATTCCCTTCGGATACTTAGATTAGAACATATTTATACTACAAGGAATAGATATACAGTGAAGAAATAAAATAAACATAAATCACCATTATAAGCATTTGTCTACTGACAGATTCATTGATAGATCATGTTTATTCTCAGTTAACACAGATTAATGCTTCAATAAATGACACAAGACACAAGTTTTGACAAAGTGGAAAGGGGAGTGAGTTGCGGACACTGGCGTCGTAACGAACAAGGAGATGCCAGCTTGTCATGATGTCAAATTGAGCATTACACAGATTATAA